TACACAGCACATTTTACAAGCAGTAGAATGAGCTAGTGACCGACATTTTCTGACTGGATTGGCTTCAGAAGGCTAGAGTCACAAAAAATACCAGCATGCCAGGTGTGTTTATGACAGGCTGGAAGTATTGTTTTTCAGCATCCAGGATGTGGATGTGCTGATCCTCACAGCTCAGTAGCTGTTTGACAGACAGGCTCCCTTTTCCAGCCTGAGAGGCGCACTGAGAGGAAGGCAGACAGGTCAGAGCAGAAAACACAGACCAGTCTGATGAAATACAGCTCCACAACTCACACTTGTGAGTGCCCTAATCATTGTCAAATAACTGACATCTCAAAAACCTGCAGAAAAAGTTTCCCTAACAAGTGCTTGCCATTAGTAAATGCCTGGCTGAACAAGCTCCTGCTGCTCTACCTTCAAAAAAATCTGAAGAAATTAAATTTAACTGAACATTGCAGCGTATGATGTGATATGATGTATGATGTGCATATTATCCTGATTACAAAGGTCTTGAGAAGTGGGAGGAAACAATAATTGCTTACGTTAGTTATTGTTTTCCACCCATGGCAATGCTTACACAGCTTTTATGATTTTAATTAAAGATCCCAAGACCTCCTTCCTATTATTATTGCTATTATTTCTACAACAGAAGACTGCAATATCTGAAAATTCTCCAGTGTGTCTACTAACAAGGGAGGAGGGCTTGCTTTGCTCAGATTGCTTTCAAGCACTCAGAATGTCACTCTGGATAAAAATGGCATCTACTTACCTAAAATGTAATGTAAATGTACACTGCATGCAGTATTTATGCAATCCCCTCATTCTTTCTCAATTTATCCTTATATTACATTAAAACTTTTATGATTACATCAGTGGCAGAGAAATAGGCATATACATTACTGTAGCCTATATATTTCTAATAAATGTAAATATAAATGTTATTCACATTCTTTGACAAATATACACACATTTAAATGGAAGGAAGAGTAACCTTGGCTCTTCATGGTCTAACTGTGGATTGAGGTTGTGCAGGTTTGCAAAAGGAGGGCACAGGCCTTACTGTGCTCAGAGATGCATGGCTTAATATAACATCACTGAGAGATGCATACGAGCACTGAGTGTCCAGGACCCTTAAAAATGCTCTGAACTTGTAAATCTCCAGATGGCTGTTAATTGAAGTAGAGGAAGACACTAATCAGCTTTATTTAATCATAAATGTTGTGGATACGGTGCTAAATGCTATGATGCTATAGATGAAGAGATAGGCAGGTGAAAGGATGCTTTAGGGGATACTGGTGTGGCTCACTCTGATGGATAAATAATGATGAAACACATGTCATGGATGTGCAGTACACTGAGAGTCCTAAGAGGTTTTCAGTTTAAAGCACTCACACTCACAGAGCTTTGAATGTGAGTGCTGACAAAGTGGGAAAGACTAATGATTCACAATATCTGTTTAGGCCAAGGGCTGTCAAGCTAACACTCCTTTAGCAGCCATAACACTCATTTCTCTATGTGCCTCTGAAATGCTTCTACGTTGTGTTAAAATTGTGCTAAAACTGTCAGGCTGTGACAATGTGTTAGTTGTGCTTAAAAATACCTAAAGTCAGACCAACCAACAGCACAGAGAGATTCTGTTTTGGGTGGAAGCAACAAAACCTGAAGCTATATTTAAAGACCAACTATGAGAAACAAGCAGAACTAACAACAGCAGTTGACTAGCTACAGAGTAAGTTTGTGTTGATTAAATACAGTTAGCAGTGTAATCATGTAATTTTCTGTGCTTAGCTAGCAAGCAGTTAGAGCTACATCATAGTTCTTCCAACGCAGAGCTTTCAGAGTTCAGAGCTAATGCTAAAGCTAGCTGGTGGAAAGCTTGTTTTTTTCAGTTGATAGTTTGTGTAATGTTTTCCTCAAAATAACTATTAATAACTATATCCCAAACATGTTTGTAATGTTTTATTAAACCATTAAAATGCCTTATGACAATATCTATTGGACATAATCTCTAGGGATTTATAGCAATTGTTGCCGTCTGTTTCCTGGTGTTCAGGCAATGAGATCCATGCCATGGAGGCATTACAAAACAAACCAGGATGACTGAGAACTTATGGACTGAACATGGGGAGTTGTTTTTGTGCCTTATACTGCATGAATCAAAAAAGTAGTAGGTGGAAAACTTTCATTCTCCCAAGAAGGAAACCTCCCGGTTGGCTCAGAGAGCAGATTAGCTCCAGTGATCTGGTCAGAGACCTGGATTTTAATAAGGCAGCGGATGGTTTTGAACTGAAACTGCAAGAAGAATCTTCTGTTTTAAGATAAGACTGCTCTGTGAGGCCTACTGTGTGTTTAAGGTTGTCAAGAAGAGTGCAAAGGTTTGTCAGACTCTGATCAATACTTTGGTGATCAGTTTGACATTTGAGTTTCAGTGTGACTTGATGACAGCTGGTAGAGGTGCAGACTGATGTCTTTGGATGGAAAATGCATCATGTTATTACACAAAAAAAAAAAAGAGGCAGACAGTCTCTTTTCATGATTCTGTGTATACTTATTAAATCATGTAGCTTTGTCTGTATACACAGCAGTCATCTCTAATATGAATTTAATGATAGATTCAGTGTGTGAAATTTTGAGTAAACCGCTGTTTTTTTCATACATGCAAATGTTACAAATAACCAGAATCAGTCTCTGCTTTTAATTTGTGCACCAGACAAACTACAGTGGCATGTGGTAAGAAAAGAAAAATAAATTATTTTGGAATCCAACAATAAGTTCAAGTTCATTTTATTTATATAGCACGTTTTATAGCAGCCACTGACTGACCCAAGTGCTTTACATAACTACAGAATTAAAAGACAATAATACCATGCATAACAGCACAGCATAGAAAAGTACAGCATCAGACTTAGATAGAAAAAACAGCATCATACTCCAAGGAGAGAAAAATTAACAAAAAAAATATATATATATAATATATTCCACAGGCGAGGCCCAACCACATAAAATACTCGATCCCCTCTGCGTTTAAGTCTGCAGTGAGGGACTAATAACAGTAATAACTAATTCTTTTCACCTGATCTCAGACTTCTCGATGGAGTATATGGTTGAAGCAGTTCAGATAGGTAGCACGGTGCTTGGTTGCATAGAGATTTGTACACAAATAACAGGATTTTAAAATCAATTCTGAAATTAATGGGCAACCAATGAAGAGACCTCAGAATTGGGGTGATATGGTCACTTTTCCGACTATTTGAGAGGAATCTTGCGGCGGCATTTTGCACCAATTGCAGACGAGCAGTTTGAGTTTTCGAGATACCGCAGTAAAGTGAATTGCAGTAATCTACACGTGTGGTGATAAAAGCATGAACAGCCATCTCAAGAGTTTTAGGATTAAGAAAAGGTTTGATTTTTGACAACAGACGCAGTTGATAAAAACTAGAGCTAATAAGCGTCACTTATTCACCTTTAGTAATTTTACTGTTTTGCAGCAAGACATTGTAGCAATGATCTTTCTACCTCTCTGCTGCATGCACATCCTTGATTATTTGTAAAACATTGTTTAATTATAGTGCATCATGTTTTTTTATGTTTTTCTTTTTTGTTCTTTGATACAGGCAAAGCATGGGCAGGTGAACTCACTTTGTGTTTTTAACCTAAACACACAAAAAGTTGTATTTTAAAGCTGTCTAATGGAAAAACATAAGTGTCCCATTCTAAACCATTAAATTAATTGAGTTTGGCAAGACCAGCTCTTTATAATACTTTAAAAAGATGCATTCACTCGCTTTCATTTTCTGTAGACATCCAGGGAAAACCTTTCAAGTACTTTATAATCAAATATTCTCTTTAGTATCCAGAGTTGTTCCCTTGCACCAAGTACTAACAATGTGTGTGTTTTCAACAGATGTTGTCTTGGAGCTTTCAGAGCTGGATATTAACATTTTTAATACAACGCTACAGACTTGGAACTGCATTTTTGTACTCAAGCTTTTACCAATTTCAAATCAGGTTTTCATGATTTCAATGAAAAAAACTCATGACCATCTTAATTTTAGCATGTGTGGCTAAGCTATTGTAGCACTAACTGATTGTTGCATCATGCAAAACAATATACAACAATGAACAAAAGCAAGATAAAATCAAAGTCCCATGAAAGAGAGAGCAAAGTCAAACTTTCTGTGTAAGTTCCCTTAACGGGCAGAAATCCAATATCAAAGCAGCGAGGCCAAGTCTGATTAAATCTCGACTAAGCAAAGTAAAGACAGCTCAAGATCCTTCATTAATATAATCTCTCCAAGATATATCTCAGCTCTCAGCAATATTTGGCTCTCAGCGAACATGGAAAATATCTGTTAGGAGAGGAGGGATTCAGCTGAAGGCTCCACTGGGCCACTTAAGTTTGCAGTGTGGTGTATTACAAGAAAAATACTACAAATTGAATTAATTAAATCAAAAGTGAATGCTCATAAATGTATAAATGTTTGTATTGCCTCGGGTATGAGCTGACCATAAAACTGAATGTGTTTTGTGTGTGTGTTTTCGTGTACTGTGACAGGAGTAAAGTTTATATTTACATGTATGCAGTTGTGTCATCTCGTCAAGTGAGCGAAAAAGAGGGTAAATGTGTGTTGTGTTATACAGCATCAGTGTTTAAGTATATAACCATCAGGGTGATTGTGGTATAAAGCCTCCTCTGACATCCCTGATCCACTCTAGTGGCCTTTTTTCTAATTAATCGGTCTGCTCGGCCATCAGGACACAGTGCATTTAATATTGAGCAGGGTCTCATCATAGTCAAAAATCTGTTTACACAAGGCTCATATGAGGACTAATAAATTGCCCATTAGGATCCATAAATTTTAGATTTATTTTTCAGCAGTGAATTTGAAGAGGGCATTCTTATTGTGAGACGACTGAGGGTGCAACCGCAGTGGTCCATGGTCAGCTGTGACTTTGTGTCATGATTTTAAATCTGTCCGTTCCTTCTGTTCTGTGATTCACAGAGGTTTGTCACAGTCCCCTGGTATCCAGTCTACTGCAATCGTCCTTCAAAAGTTCCTCACAGTTGTCTGGCAGCCATGGGCCAGGCTTTGCCAAGTTGAACCGGAGAGAAGGTGAGTAACAGTAACTATTGCAAACCATCCTTTTGGCAGATATCTGTAATGTTTTTTGGTAAGAGGGGTGTGGTGGGGTATTGTACAAAACAAACCAGCACATTCACTATGGTGGGGGACTCACAAATGTTGATCAGTTTTTCTTGTTGCATCTGTCTTAATCATGGAATCAGACTAAAGGCAGGACATTGTAGAGCAGGGGTCGGCAAATAAGGATGGCATTGGGCCAAATTTTTCATTCAAGTCATTAGACAGTGGGCCAGAACGTCGTCAATTTATCATTTACAATTCGCCATTTACTGTGTCCCTATTCAGCTCAGTCAGCAGTACACAGGACTCCTGTTTGTAGGGTTGAGTGTTCACTCCCCACTTCCTGCTAGTATTATTGTTCTCTTTTCACTAAATTGATTTTGCAGAGATCGTTTTACATGTGTGTTTTAGTGTGTCCCCCTCCGCAATTGGTCCACATCAACCTTTGGACGCTTTTCATTTCCCCAGTAGCTCCATGCAGAAGAAATTCCTGCGTTTCTCATTCAGGGGAATCCAATCTCACGTTTTCTGGCGGCTTTTTCAGAAGTGTGTCAAGCAAGCCAGAGACTCTTTTGAAAAGTTCTGAAGGAAATTCAAAGTAAAATCTCTCAATTAAACATAATATAAAGTACTGCTGCAAAGACGTTCTTGCGCTTTTATTTTACAGGCACAATCGCTTAAGAGCAAGTGATTATGTGAGTAACTTTTGCTGTCATGACTGTGATCTGTTTCAGCACCAGACGCAGTAATGGCACCAGCTTTGGCCAAGCCATATATTATTATTATATTATTTAAATACAATAACTAATTATCAGGCTCACAGAGATGCAGGCAGACATCCAAAAAGGACAAGCAGGTAATCCAAACAGCACAGAAGACTGAAAATATAATGATAGGACACAACAAGGACTGAGCACATTATAATACAGGGGCAAAAAAGCAGGGCAGGAGCAAACAGGTGAAACACATCAGGAAAATTAGACAACAGGAAACAAAGCTAGAGAACGAACACCAGACACCAACAACTTCAAAGTAAACCAGTAAGTAAAGCTGGTGACACGATGATGAATGTAACCGAATACAACTGAGAACATGGAACAAATGATCAACTGACCAAAACATAAGGACAAGAACACAGAACAGTGAGGGAAAGAGGGACTGGTATAAACAAGGCTAAAAAAAAAAAGGCAAAAACAGAAACCCAAAACCCTAACAGAGATGTGATTTTCCAGCTTTACCTTTTCCATATTTCTAGAATATAGATGCACAGTTTGACACCTGTGGGCTGCCCAAACAACTATGGCCACATCCACTGTAAACACTTCACTAGTGCAGTTTGGAGCACATGCATTGCTCAAACACACTTCAGTGCTGGCTCTAATACTTTAAAGAGAATGTACTGAAGTTAAGTTTTCTAGGTTATGGTAATTTAAGGATTAGCATGACATAATATTTGACTGATAATCAAGAGACCGTATGTTACCGTTTAAAAGAAGTAGGTGTTCATTCAAGCCTGTGACATGTCAGCTGGGCTATTCCATCACTCCCTCCTCTATACTCCCCAGTATTCACATATAAAATTTAGCACTGTAACATCAATAGCTTATCACTGCATTGTTGTCTTCTTTTCTTCTCTCTCTTTTTTTAACCCCCAGTGTTTTAGCCGTTTGTGCAGATAAAGTAAGCTCTAAAAGGAAGCTCCCCTTTGTTTCTGTTCTGGTGTGTTGCAGCAGCACAGCTCAATTCATGATTCACTTCCCTGCAGGACACCACAGCACACAACATCAAAGACAAGTCTCAGTTGGATTCACACAAACTGACAGACACCTCAGGGTGAATGATAGAAAAGCACACGGACAGATAAAGTCAAAGAGTGGTCATTGCCTCCTTTTGCTGTGGTTCCTGCTGTTGTTTTAGTTTAGTACATTACACACTTTGCCAAAGGTTGGCTTGTCACCAGAAGAATTGACAAGAAAGTATGTACGTGCTGATACAGTGGCTTTTAGGAAACACACCCCTGTTTTTGGCGCATTCTAGCAGCAAGAGTTGGCTGGTTTACTTTCGTACCTGAGATAAGAATTGGATAGATGCGCTGTGATGTCTTTGTCTTTGACACAACAGAGGATCTGAATGATTTTCACCACCTGGAGACTACGGGAAGCACAGCCTGCAGGCTGCTGTTTCCTTGGTGTGTTTGATGGCAAAAGCTGTGAGCAAACACACCCGCTGTGTTCCTTCACTTCAGTCAACCTGCTCTGTCTGTTTACTGATCTTACCAAGTTTGATCTGCGTTAAGGTGGATCAGATGCTTCTAAAGGATCATCAGATGCATCTGAATGGCAAAACACAAGTTTATTTGTCTGCACAGAATAAAAAGAGAAAGGAAAAAAGAAAAAGTAGTAATGCAACAACACAGAAACAAAAAGAAAGTGTCAGTGAAGTCATGCTCTGTTTTTGTTTTCATCTGGCACTCAAAGAAATAAAATGCTGGTAAATGAAAACACATTTAATACTCTGCAAGCATCATTTCAACATTATGCAGGTAGAAAAGTATTACTGATGCATGCATATACAGTGCATGCCACTGTGCAAACCCCAGTGGCATAGAAAGTACTCAGATCCATTACTTAAGTAAAAGTAGCGATACCACAGCATAGAAATTTTAAATAAAAGTACCAAAGTATTAGCAACAAAATATACTCAAAGTACCAAAACTAAAAGTAAGAATGGATCATTTGCAATTAATTTAGGTAAAATTATTGGATTATAACAATGGATGCAATAATGTGTAATTGTAACTACTTTTTTACTGCTGGGTAGCTTAATCTTTGATAATGCATCATAATTTATTTGTTGATTATATTTTGCATAAATAATATTAATCAACAAAGTAAATAGTTGCTAATGTCGTCAGATAAATGAGTGAAAAGTAAAACATTTGCCTCCAAAATGTAGTAGGAGCATAAAATGGGATTACTGGAGTAAAGTTTAAGTACTTCAAAATTGCACTTAGTGCAGTATTGCATCTGATTTACACCCAAGTGTGCTGTAGATATTAAATGTGAATGTATAGATAATATATAAAGCCAGTGCAACCATACCAGCCTCTCTAAGATGTGATGAGCTTTGGGAGCATTGAATGTTCCCCGATAGAAAATCTTGCAATCTCTTCTGTGTGATAATGGTGACGAGTGAGGCTCTTGTAAGTCCTTGTCAATGATTTTTTACTAACAATAATACCTCACAGGTTACTATGCCTTATCAATTATCAGTTTGAGATTTGAATTGAATTAGAGTTTAGAACTGAATTAAATTAATCAATAAATCTAATTCACCTCAGAAGGAATCCACAAAAGAACAACATGGACTGATGTAAAAATATAAATGGCTTTATTTCCAGAATCCCCAGCCGTTCCCTGTGGAAATCACTGAATAAATTAAAAAACCCTAGTTGTTTGCGTCTCTTTCAGCTGGTGCTCCTCTTCCTTTATAGTCATTCTCTGAGGAGCTGCTTCATTCAGAGATAATTTACAAGCAAAATGAGCAGGGACTCTCGGAGGCAACACACGTCTGTTTAAGAGAAACACTGAGACAGTTTTGCTTCCTCCAAACACTCTGCAGTAGGCTTGTTGCACTGTTAACCTGTGCATTAACCCAGGAGAGAGCATTGCTAAGGACTTTTAGTGAAATTCCAAAAGAGGTCATCAGGCACGTTCTTGATCAATCATTGAGCTTGCTATTTTTATGACCCTAGAAAATCATTTCAATCATACATTAAAACCTGTCTAAATTAAATCTAGCAACTCTGTGCAAATTACAGGCTTTTCAGAAGGACATGCTGCCAATTAGAGACTAATTTTAGATCTAGAACACTGAAGCAAAGCCTTATACTTTTCTACACCAAGGAAAAGTTCCACAAACCATGGCCTTCAAAGTGAGTGAGTTGTCACATAAACTATTAATTTCACTGTTATAAGTGTTGTTCTTATTGTCTGTGAATATATCTTTGAATGTTTAACATCTATACACAAAATAAGTCCATTTTGCCCATTTTTCTTGTCCTTAACAGTTTATACTGTGACACCGCCGGGCTCTGTCTATGTGTCTTTTGTCATGTGTCTGTCTCTCTTCCTGTCTGTCTGAACAATAGTGCATTATTGATTAAGGTACTTTTTGTTAGTAATCTGTTACTGGTGGTGAAGCCGTCAACTTGACCTGCACTGTGTTACAGTATAACTTTGTTCTACCTCTTCTGCAACAGTTGTTATTGAGACACGATACCAGCTTCTATCTGTTAAAAATTTGCAGAGGGCATTTCATCACGTTTCATTCTTGGCAGACAGTAACTTGGGCAAAGCCTTGAAATTGGGTTCAAAACACTCATCACTGGCAGTGCTGTAATAAGTCATCCAAGCTGGGAAATGCAAAGTCGGTCAAGTTTTTCCATGTGAAAATGGAGTGTGATTCCTCTAATGTGCTTCTTGGAGGAAGCGCTGAAACTTTTTGCTCCTACAGGAAGATTCAAAAGCGGCCCAAGTGATTTTGCTTTCTTTTTCCCTGAAGGCTCCTGCTCAACCTCTAACTCTACTGATACCAAGTGGCTCAATTGGCAGACAGCCCAGACTCAAAAGCTCTTTCTAAAAGAACTTTGTAACAGACATCAATATATTTCGACAATCTGTAGCTGTCACTACAAAAGGAATTGTACTGACAAAAGGGTGACAGTGATACAGTCTGTGGTTGTCATTATTAATTAGAGACTTCTCCTCAATGTCACCCACAACTGAGTAGTTATCTTTTTCAAGTTAGGAGAAAAGTTCTGTTAAAACCCATCACAGCTTCTCTAATGTCAGTGTAAATTATGGCCTGTTATGACTTGATATTATGACAACCAGTGTTGGGCAAGGTACTCAGAAATTGTAATAAGTTACTAGTTATTTAATACTCCAAATTACTCTAAAAAAGTAATACTATTACTTTACTTATTACTGGGTGATAACTAGTTATGTTACTATATTATTACTATATTAATATCATTCATAACAGCAGCAAGAAGCTATGGATTTTACAAAACATCTTAACGCCACCAGCTGAAATAAAAAAAATAATGCAAGTCAATCCCGACTTTTGAACTACTGTTTTTCTGCATATGCATATATTCAGTGATTTTAAAAAACACTACATTGCTTAATGCCACTCTCTCCCGAAGAGTCCATGCATCACTGGCAGTAGCTGCCGGAGTTTCTTTCTATAAGTTTTACGTTGCTGTGCTGCTAAAGTATGGAGGACCGATCCTGACACAGTCAGAAATAAATACAGAAATAAATAAATGCTCAATAAATAAAGCATCCAATTAAAATTCAAAAAATAAAGTAAATAAATAAATGTAGTAGTAATTAAATGATACAAGGAGACAAATGTATATATTTTAATTAGTGTCTTTACTTATTCACCTTTGTAATAATTATTATTACTTATGTATTTATTCTCCGTTATAATCTTCACATTTATTTATTAATTACTTATTTTTTTAATGTATTTATTTTTGTGTGTTAATATTTTTGTCTGTTTTATTCTTCCTTTGTATTTTTTGACCTTATTTATTTTCACCCATGTTCTTTATTTCTGCCTGTCCTTTTTACATTTCTGTATGCATTTCTGCCTCTTTATGCAAATGAGGAGGGGCTGTGTCTCAAGGGGTCATTTTCTCTCCTATTGGTGGACCAGTCAGACGGGAGAGCTCTAGACCTCTGCCCGCAGACATCAACGATCTGCTCCTCACACAGTCAGATGGCTTCCTTCAGTGCGCTGAGGTGTTCTCTCTGTTTGAGGACACTACCAGCCATGTCTTCCTTCTCTTTTCATGTGGACACTGTGACCTACAGAGTTTTCAATTAGTGACTTATATGTACACAGAACTGCAGGAAAGTGAGCTGTTTTTGAGAGCCACATCAGTTAGCCGCAGCTAAATCTGGAGTGACTTCACCAGCGGTGAGTATTATGAATAATACATGTAATCTGTTAAGCTATGAGGAGAGTAAAATTCCGTTAGCCACTAGGCTAATTTATGTAGTGCTAACTTCATATAGGCTAAAGCTCTTAAGCTAGTGGTGGTGACTAACAAAAAATAATCTTAACAGTTACCATTAAGAAGAATTTTATGCTTCTGTTAACTGTGATTGCTATTAAGCCGTGTTTTATGTGTGGTGGTGAAGTAAATTTAAAGTTAACTTTACTGCACTTAACCAGTCGAAATGATTTAATGAAGGCTAACGTTGTAAGGCTAAATTGTACTTCTATGTCTCACACAGAAAACACAGGAGGAGGCATGCGGAGAACAACAAATAACCCCCAAACAATAAAATAAGTTCCTTTTATATTTCCCTGCCTTGTTTATGTGTACATACAGAGGAAGAATGAGAGAACAGCACACATTTCATCGTTACTGTGTGTTAGAGCATGGGAGAACAGTGGATACTTTTAATACAGCCCACACCCCTAATACTGTGTAATTATAACAAGTAGTTTGTTTGATCCACCTTCATACACATGTGACATTACTGTACAACTTGAGAAAGGCGAGTTGTTTTCTGCTCCAGCCTGCCTAAAAGAAAAGCGTTTTGGGGATTAAATGGACTTTATTAGCTGCTGCAGTGCAGGATGAACTCAGAACAGACCCATTTCTCACCTTATTATAAATCATGCAATGAAGAAAAAGAAATGCATAATAAATCCTGGGACAAAATCTGTCCACAAATATTGTACAGCATGTAGTCTAATGAACAAGACTTGTGTTATAGCTGACTTGGGCAGTGAAAATGTGTAATTTTTTTAATTCATGTAGTCATAGTTGTCCACAACTCAAATCAGAATTTAAGAAGAAATGTTTTATACCACCTCAAGAAGGCTTCCTATCAGAAAGGTATTTCAAGTGTACAACAGCAGTACTTAAATTTAAGTAATTTCCCTGACATTTGTGTTATTTTACTTTTAATAGACATATGTAACAGGTTTTATACTTCCTGTGAGTATAATCCAATCAATCTTATTTTCATACTGTATATCCGTTGTGTAATCTGATAAATTGTGTTGTATGTCGTGCTCGCATCGTGTACTACCGAGACTTCATTGCACTCTTCAGAGAAGACTGACTGCAAACATGCGTCTTTGTAAAGAGAAACAGACAAAAAAAGTCTAACTCTGCCTGTCAGCTCGCTCTGCTCCGTTAAAACTGAATTTACCATACAGAATTGAGTACGAGTGCAGCGAGCTGACCGTGTGCTTCTCCCTATACCGCAGTTCTGTGTCCATGCATGCAGCAAACTGAAAGCACTGTCTGTCGGAGCGTCTACATGAAAAGAGAAGGAAGATATGGCTGGTAGTATTGTCTTCAGAGTTGCTAGACACCTCAGCGCACTGAAGGAAGCCATCTGACTGTGTGAGGAGCAAGATCGTTGATGTCTGCGGGCAGAGTAGGAGCTCTCCTGTCTGACTGGTCCACCAATAGCAGAGAAAATGACCCCTTGAGACACAGCCCCTCATTTGCATAATGAGGCAGAAATGCATACAGAAATGTAAAAAGGACAGGCAGAAATAAATACCATGGGTGAAAATAAATAAGGTAAACAAAAAAAAGGAAGAATAAAACAGAAAAATATTAAAACACAAATACATTAAAAAGTAATAAAGGTAATTATAACAAAAGGTGAATAAGTAAAGACACTAATTAAAATATACATTTATGTCTCCTTGTATAATTTAATTACTACCTACATTTATTTACTTTTTTTGTGTATTTAATTGATGCTTATTTATTTTAGCATTTATTTATTTCTGAATGTGTCAGGATCGGTCCTCCATACTTTAGCAGATGCTTCAATAAATTAGATGTAGAATTGTGCGCAGTTGAAAGCTTTTTGCCGGTCACAACGGACAACAATGTTCTTTGCTTCTTAGACTGTGACACAATAATGGAAGTACTGTCAAAAGAACACCTCGTCAAAAGACTGACACCTCGTTCTCCATTCTCTCTTTAGTTTTTGGATAACAGCGGACTTGAACAACATATGGTCTGACAAGAGGTCTGGTGCCGCTGACCTGCTGAACATAACGCATTCATGTCAAGGACGGTGCGTTCAGTAACGCATCGTTGCTTGGATTAGTAACTGTTGTAATATTACTGTTTTGGAAAAGTAATCCGTTACACTACTAGTTACTGGGAAAAGAAATATTGCAGTAACACGTTACTGCCCAACTGATCACAATAGTGTTTTAAGTTGGACTTTTTCCTTGTGCTTCTATCTTTTGAGAATTATTTCTGGAAAGTGGAGTTGTCACAAGACTGTTTGAGGGTTAAAATTTACACAGTTTATTTCAGTTCATTTGTTTCCCCCTGGCCATTCCTGCTTTGCCCAAGACTCAAACACAATAAGAAGAGGAAACTAATGGCAGCCCTAATAAAACACACCCAAGATGAGATAGTGGAGGTGAGGGCAAGTGGTGGTTGTGGAGATAAGATCCAGGGATAAGATGGTTGGGATTTTTCAGTTGAAGTAGAAATAGTTAACAAAAGGGGAAAGGCTAATGATGGGCAAACCATTGGTAATTGGGATAGGATGCTCAGAAGATGCTGCAGAGCATGTTAAATCAAAACAGACATTGTTAAAGATGCCCTGTGGAGTTTCCTTGTTAACAAGCAACATAAAAGTTATGTTTGCATTCAGTGTTCTTCACCACAATAACACACTTGTATCCTTGGGGGTCTAACAAACGTTGCGTACATTTCCTCCCTCATAAAACTTTAGGAACATATTTCAAATTCTGCATTGTTTACATTTACGTGGGGTTACAGAAGATAAGATTTTGACTCCAGGAGGTGTTGAAAAGGCAAATAATGAGACTGAGGCCGATAATTATATTTGGTGTTGGTACCATATATTATGTGGAAACAAGGACAAAAAAATAATAAAAAAAAAAAAAACCAAAATATTTACAATCTGCAGAAACGTTGGTTTTGATAAAGTGCACTTGAGGAAATTTAGTTCCGTTGACTCAGTTCACAGAAACAATAAACAAAAGCAACAAATTGAGGAGTACTCAGATATAAGGACAGTCACAACACACTGTAGGACATTTTCTTTTGTTCATGAAAGATGAACGCTATGTCCAAATGACGAGAATGATCCGTGGAACACAAATAGTCCATAAGCCAAGGCTTACTGAATGGCCGTGTGTGAATGAGAGTGGTGGGGGTGAGCAAAGCTGCAACAGCCTCCTACCAAACCCACAGGGGGTGATGAGGTTGTTGGGGCAGGTTCTGTTCCAGGTAGTAGCTCACCATCAACTGACCCGCAACTGGCCTCACCTGGCCTGTATTAAATAAACAGGACCCATGGTTTAATCACTACTCATTTAATTTATCTACTAGCTAGTTTTATCTTCTATATTTTATGTGTACACAATAGCATGGCATAAGTAATTGTTAAATGACAACAACTTGTACAAAAGTACTTAAATGCATGTAAATAAACACCCAGGAATGTTAGGATTATTTACAACATTCCATTCAATACAATTGATAATCTTGTCACGCAGTATGTAAATAAACCATTTAAATACTTAAAGCCATAGCATTGAAAACAAAGTGCTAGGTTTGCATCATTCATTGAACCCAATAAAAACTCCATAGGAGCAATGGAAAGCAAATGCTACTAGCATTGCTAATGCTACCAGCCACCACAGCCCTTTGAATTACATTGAGATGGCTAATGCTATTAGCATTAAGCTAGTGGAGAACCCTATTAAAATACATAGGGATGCTAATGCTAATAGCAACTTGCCAGTGGACACAACTACAAACAGACTCACCAATTCCCGCAGATATTCGACACACCGCGGCACCAGTCGGCTTCTAAGGACCACGGTAGTGGGCACTACAAATACACAATCGCATGCTAGAGTCAAACAAGCATTTAAGATGGAAAATAAGCAAAAACAGCATTGTTTGTGTAGAGACATAACGAGTGCAGCTGCTGGGGTGGCTTCCCCCTCACACTACTAATTGGGGAAACTCACCTCAGCTTGTAAAACGCGCTCGAGCGCTGTGATAGGTTGAAACTACCATGTGACTCAAGGGTGTGTCTGGTGGTGTGTTCGGGTGACTGAGAAAAAAATGGGACCATGGAATTTTAACCTGGGTTACACATGCTATAAGTCTTCTTAACTGCCTTTAGTCGCGCTTTGCTAAGTTTGTTGGTGTCACCGACTGTCAATCAGCAAAATAGTGTGAAAGTTTTTTGTGTGCATGTGTGTCCTCGTGCATGACACAAACAAAATGGCTACCCCCTTGTAAAAACATTCACCCACAGCACTGGTCAAGTCATAGATGATGTTAGGGACTGCCAGCAAAAAAGAGATCAGGTAAAGGAATTAATGAAAAGAGACAAAAATGCTGATCTACCTGAGGGAAAGGGTTAGGGTTTAGAGTCTTGGACATGCTTTCCTTCAAAAAGGTCCTCATAACAGTAGAGGGACAAATGCATGTGTATAGTAAAATCTCTCCATATCATGTTCTGGCAGCAAAATGTCACTTTGATATAGCTCAGCACTTTCACTTGTGCTCACAAATACACACACCTTTAGGCATTTTAATTATTTAATGTGTCTTCATCATATGGTCCTCTGCCCTGGTACTCAGATTATATGAAGGTCTGAATGAAGTGGCCATTTTAATATTGTATAAGGCTTGCGGTGTTGACCATAAATGCCTCGGCTGCAGCTTGTATTATGTACAGAACAGTCCTTAAGGTACAGATTAAACTCTTTTGACTGTTGCAAATTAAACATCAAAGCAATAAGTTGGTAAAGCATTTGAGCTTAGGGCTTTTAAACTATGGAAAAGTTTATGTCTGATGAAATAAGTTAAGTAAGATTTGTCTTCTTTCAAAAAACAACTGAAAACTTTGTATGGATTTGCATTTGTCTGAAAACTTTTTTGTTCTTGCTAATGAGACAGCAGTGTAGATATTTCCACATAGCTCAGTCGTTGTTGATATGCTTTTATTAATTGTATTACCATTTGATTTCCCAGCACTCTTAACCATACCTGTCAACATTGGGATTTGAAAATAAGGGAAATTTTACTATCTGAAGTAAGTGACTGCAATTAGGTGGTCCGAATGTGATAGCTGGTTAAAAGGGAAATGTTGTGAACATCTCTGCATAAATGAAAACACAATAGGGCAAATACTTTCAGCATGTATGTATTACTTGAATGAGGGTAGACATCACTTACACATTATGCTTCAGTTGTAACTCTGAGAGAGGTTACTTGTTAAGTGAGACAATTGGTAGAAGAAGGTGATTAAGATGTTGCTCCTCATTAAGTACATGTAAGCAATTTTCCCATTTGGTGAGATACGCAAAATGTTTGCCTTTTTGGCAGGTACTCCATGCCACTCATGTTCATCCATCCTTGAATCCTGGCACTGCTGTTCTTATTCTTCTACCTTCTTCTTGTGGTATACCGGAGGTTAATGTTGCACACATTTCAAATATGCCTAGCAGGGTTGTTTTCTTTACAGAGAATGGTAAAATAAGGGAGAATCCCGGGGAAAACGGGAGGATTGACAGGTAGGCTCTTAACAAACTTTCTTCAGAAAAGTGTACTACAGTTAATACAGTCATCAGTGTTTGTTTATTCTGTTTGTTTATAAGTTCCCCAATGTGATTGTTATGTAAAGAAATAAAATTCAGCTCTTAATTCTTTGGATAATACAAAGGTATGTCTCTCTCCCTCCTCTCTCTCTGTCCAGGAGCTGGAGGTTGGTCTCCTCTGAGCTCAGACAGATATCAGTGGTTGGAGGTCGACCTGGGTGGACGGACACAAATCACTGCTGTTGCTACGCAAGGCCGCTATGGCAGCTCTGATTGGCAGACAGCCTACCTGCTGATGTTCAGCGACACAGGACACAACTGGAAACAGTATCGTCAGGAAGACAGCATAGGGGTGAGTGCACTGTAATTAATATAACAGCATGTAATAAACAGTAGAGTAGTGACTTCTCAGTGTTAAAGATAGAGTCAAAACTGAGCCAAAAGGTCTTTTCCACTGCAGACATTGTGACATATCACATTAGGAAAAGCACAAGTGTCACTAATAACATTAACAATACCTACATTCTATTTAATGACATTGTGACTGAAACATACAATACGAGGACCCTGAAACGGGTAAATCGAATCATTTTCATTCATTCATCATAGATTTTATAGTTTACACCAGTTTTTTTAAATATAAAATGCTACTAATGAACAATAATGTTCTTTTAAATGTTGCCACAAATAATTTTTCATGTAATTTGCTAATAATTGACATGCTGATGTTCAACATCCTCAACAATGACCAATATTTCTATTTTACCATGTGACCACTTTTAGGCCAAAAACAAAAAATTGCCTCTGAAACAGCATTAACTTCATCATATATATAATAATTGTTATTTCTTTACCTTTTTACTTCCCTTAAAAACTAAAAGCTGACATTATAAAGTTACTTTATATTACACATTATTTGTCAATATTTTTTGTCTAACCAGATAAACAGCTATATATACGTACTATATACGTAGTATAAAGAGCGATAAAGTCAGTGTAAGGAGGTGGTGGGGGACAATAGAAAATCAACCTGTTTTATTATTTAGGTATGAGGACATATTGTAAAAGTCAAATTGATGCTAAATTGCAAAAATGTATACTGCAACACACCAAACTTTCAAGCTGTATCTCAAGGAAAACTCTCCAATTTACAAATGTCTATCAGTATCTAATTTACTCATACAGAATCAGAATCAGTTTTTTTGCCAGGTACATTTTCACATATGAGGAATTTGCCTTGGGATACAATTCCCATTTCAAAGTTTCTTTTTCCCCACATAGGGCCTCTCTCACTTGCAGTTAACCACATCACACTACAAAGTAGGTAGAGGCAGTAAAGTATTACCTCGAAGCTCCTGGTATAGACAGAAAATTCTTCCTATTACAGTGATGCTGAGGGAAACAGCATCAATTTAAAGTTGATGAGAGATAAGACTCTCACAGCGAGTGTAAAACTAATGTCAGGCTAAGACTCCTTCAGGAAGAGAGAACAGAAAAGGACCTCTCACAGCTTAAAAGCTTGTTGATTCCACACTCAGCATAAATCAGGATAAATCCGCAGTGTGCCTCAAAAGTCCTTCTAAAGCTCCACATATTAGTCAGCCTAGTTTATTATGGCTTTCGGGTAACAGAGTCAACTGCAAGCTGCTTCATCAGTCACAATTCCCCCAGGACCTCTCTTTCTTTTAAGTTTAGAGGCCAGAGTTTGTGAGGCTGAGTAATACTCTCTTGTGCTCTAATTTTCTCCTCCTATCTCATCTTCTCTCCCCCTTCTCTCTTTACATCCAGCAGATGGTGTTGGGAATATATACACTCCTAATCAGGGAATATAGCATCCTTAAGTGTTAATTGAGGTAAAGGGAGTGGAAGTAAATCAAAGATTTTCCGATAGGAAAGGTGAAGATGCAGATTCTGTTAATGAGCATCATCCTGAAATGCAAATAGTGAGAAAAGCTAGAAACTTGCAGTAATACTAAAGGGCAGTAATAAGTGAAGTGGATGTGCAGAGGCTGATTGATTGATTATTGATTACCTGTATTGATTTAGTTGCATATGCCTTCACTGACAGTGCTTTGAAATGGATCATTTGTTTTAATTCCCTATTTTTTCTTGTGGAAATGAGGTGTAAATGTTAACAGCACTGTAACTGCTGGTTCAACCTAAAAATGTCAGTTAATGTAGCTTAGTCAAATTTACATTTTCAAAACTCATAAGATGACTTTGAAATGATTATTCAACCTGAGTTAAAAGTGTGAAGCGGAACTTTTGTCTCCCACTTCTGACAGTGGAAGTAATGGGAGATAATAGTTATGACATATAGGCTCTGCCAGCTCTCTGCCATTCCGAGTTGCTGCTGGTGCTAAAGAGTTGACCCCCCCTGCAGCTCTGGTAAACCAATCATTTCTGGTTGGAATAAAACACATCACTACAGACCAGTTCGCCAGCGCAGGAATGAGCATTACCTGCTGGTGATAGGTTTAATCAGCGTTGTGTGAACTCGTTTGGCTTGAATGTAAAGGACGTTGATTTAATGTAAAGGTCCTGCACTTGCGTTATTTGTCCTGCACTCTGGCTTTAACAAAACTCAAGTTCAGCAACTGTTCAAACACAGCATACAAGGCATCCTCCTAAAAATGTGTAATTTTAAGTGAACAGGGGACTGAATTTAAAACTAATCTTTATTGTTGTTAACAATCTTCTCATTATCATCAGAAGAAACAACCAAGCCTTAATTTATCATGTATTAAAGACACACAGCAAGTTTCCATCATGTCTGTTTTCTTCAAACGACAAGACAGAAGGGTCCCTGGAGAGTTTTAACTCTCAAACAATGCATGCTGGGAATTTTGCTAATCTGTTTAAGGATCTTTACATTTGAGCTATTGCCACACATGGCAAATATTTTGTATCAACTTGCCAGTGGCATTTTGTCGTCCATGCTGAGGGTTCACTCAACAATACAGCTGAGGTTGTCTATTAGACAGTAGAGTGTAATAGGTACTGTTAGGTTCAAATTATATTTCTTCTCTTTTGGTACTAATTAACCTGTCATGTTGAAATTTGCTGTGATTGTCATTTGTGACTTTCTGACATCGTCCCTCTTTTACTCTCAAATCCCATTTCATCAGAGCTCTTGCTATTCTGCTCTTAGACTGTCCCTAAAACCTGTGCCCTCAATAGAGGAAGAAGAGGTGAAGGAAGAGGAACAGTAGGAGCTGGAAGAGGAGATGGGATAGGAGGAAGTTGAGGAGTAGGAGTGGGGCGGAATAGGGAGGAGGAGAGGAAGGTGGAGAAGAAGATGGAGGAGGTAGAGGGAGGAGGAGGAGGTGGAGAACAAGGATCTCAGACATAATTTGTTGTTTGGTGTGTTGTACTGTGCAGCACACTAAGGAATAAAAAATGTGCAAATGTATACATATGTTATTTCTTTTGTTGTGTTACTAATAACTAGTTTTTGTAGTATTGTTTTGAATTTATCTCACCAGTGTGTACGACTGTGTTGTAGTGTATGTGTTTTGGGGGGCTTGTGTTTATGTCTGAGGGCAAAGTTTGGTTTTGAGTGGACAGCTTCATTTTGGCCTGAAAATAGGATGTTTGGGGAATTGGGTGAGAAGTTGTGGATTTGTGTTTAGAGTTTCGAGAAAAAGAGACATCATTTCAAGAGATGTGTTTAATCGAGAAAAACTGTAATCAAAGGCTCCCTTTGGAGGCTTTTCTACTCCTACTCAGGTCATGTTTCAAAAGCCAATGCCTCAACTAAATGAGCTGCGGTTGTCCCTGGTCTCCTCAGCAGGAAACAGTCATTGTGGGGGTTAGGACTCTGTTTTCTGACAGGCTCAGCTGTTCAAAGCTGCGAGATCACTGTAACACAGACTTCAGTATATGGATCAGGTGATGAGATTTTTCTCATGTTAACTTTCCGCCTCATTTAAGAGATGAGATAGAAATTGTAAGTGCCAGAAGCAGCTTTATTGCTAAGTAGATATACATATGCAAGGACTTGGTACATAATGATATTCATAATTCATATAAATATGAATTTGACAATATACATAAAAGATAAAAGAATAATAAAGACAATTGATCCTGTTCAGAAATTCCCTTCAATCTTGTCCACCTTCATAGGGTCCAGAGGTCAGGATAAGCTACAGACCAGCAGCCTGAAGCCATGTCCTCCATAGAAAGGACATCACTCAAGTCACTAAGCCATCCTTATGCCCCTTTATTTCCTAACAGCGTTGAAATCTGCTGTGTAATTGTGGGTTGAGTTTACACTATTAGCATATAAATTAAAAATGAATAAAGTGATCAGAGCTGGTATACAGAATAAAGTTTTTAGGTGAAATGGCAAAGGGCCAAGATAGAAGAAAATCAAAACAATAGTAATATAATCAAGCTTCAGACTAGGGCACAATCAAACTAAATAAACCTAATTATTTCTTTGCATTGAAAAACACATAATTGCCTGAAGATATAAAGTAAAGTACACACTGTATAGTTTGAAATAAAGTTGATAGAAGGGCTTAAGATCAAGCCCAACTTGAAGCTTAAAAGATAAAATATCCAGAAAGAATTTGGATCGCAGAGGTTAATAAAATGTTGTTCCCCATTGACCAAGTGTTTACCAAAGTGTCTGATACATATAAATCTACAGCTAATGCTTCACAAATCTAATTTTCTACCTGACTGAGAAACCATTCACCAGGATCGTGGCACGATCTACACAATATTCTATTCATTAAGAGGAAAATCAAACGAATCACTTCTCACAGAAGCCTTGGGGATTGCACTTCAACTTCAATAAAAAGATGAAAGAACATGTTCACTTATTTCAGTAGTAAGCTTGACTATAATAAAGATCCAGTGGGAGAAATTTCACAGTGATCTTTGTGGTGTCTCACAAGCCAAAGATGAACAGATGTATGGATGGGAAGCCAGAAAACTAGCTAACTCGCTGCTGTTGATGTGTTTTCTAGGCCTTTCCAGGTAACAGTAATGCTGACAGTGTGGTCCAGCACAAGCTCCAGCACCCAGTGATCGCTCGCTACGTCCGCCTGATCCCCCTCGACTGGAATCCTAATGGTCGGATTGGACTCAGACTGGAGACCTATGGATGTCCTTACAGTTAGTTTGGCTTTTTCTATCCTCCACTTACAGGCATAACCTGAAAAGATGCCAGTAGAGAGGACATCTTCTCATTTTACACCATTGCATGGGACATACAGTTCTCTGTGTTCGTTAAAATTATAGCACCTTTGCAGCAATTTTATACAGAAAACCTTTTTTTTTTCCAGTGGTCGTTAAGGATGACCCTCTGTAACTGAACCAAGTTTGAAGGGGAAAAAAATCATCTAGATCCTTTAAGCTGGCTTCAGACTACATAATATTTATGCCTGTTAAGACGGTCACTGTTCAAGAGTCATACATTTTTGTTGTGACTTGATCATACAGACAAACAGACTACACCTTTGTACCTGACCAGTCGTAGTTTCCTGTGATGTCATTGGGAAGTAGGTGTTAGGGTCCAACCGAATAGAACAATAGGATCCAAAGCTGTGTCCTATTGTCTTGTTTTCGGACAAGCCTGAAACAAGAAAGAATGAACAGCTTTGACCTTTTCTCTGTTTCACAGTTCAACCTTCCGGCACCAACAACATCATTCCTCTTCTGCTTTGCCACAATTACAGTTGTGCACAGAAGACTTATCTGTGCTCCTTTTGGTCAACGTCTCAGTACTCGTAGGGGAATTTGTCGTGCGATGGGAGGCAGTACGACTAACGTGGTTGTCTTTTTGTCGGGAGGTTGTTAGGCATCCCACATGCGGTGTCAGTTGTTGTCTACCATGATACACTACACGGGATAAAATGATAATTTGTCGTGCCCTACGTCTGTTGTACTGGGTTATTGTTGTCTGATATCATGTAGTCTGAATCTTCATTTCTGTTTTTGAAATACATCATCATCAAGCAACACGCTACTGGATTAGCTGGCCGCCTTTCCCTTTGGAAGCATGTTTTGTTTACAGTACAAGAACGTTTCATGATGTCAGCTTTTGTTGCATCTTACAAGTGTAAAAACTTTTGCAATATTGTTTTTTTATTATAAACTTCCAGCATCTTAAATCTTGGGTTTAAATGTGCAAGGGCAGGAGAGGACATAACAGCTGTGGCCATGACAGTAACAGAAGGGCTCTTCTTATGTCTGCTGTTTGGCAGGGAAAGTTTCATTATGCCATATGAATGCAGGCAGAAGTAATTTGTCTGTAAGAAGTCAAGCCAGTGTGAAAAGTTAATCGCTTATTCTTTGCCCCCTAACAGTATTTCCACAGACCTGTCATGCAAATCCATCTATGCAGCAATAATAAAGCAGCAGAAATAAATAATCCTGGTCCAACTCTGTAGACAAAGACAATGAGAAAACTAAGCACCGCACTGTTAAAATGATGAAAACGACACACATTATGACATTTTTGAACCAGGCAACAATGACACTGTCACATAAAAACTTGACGGACTAAAAGAAGTCAGTGCAAGAAACATTGGTATGAAGATAAAATGTGTAACCCAGTTCCAAGAATAATCTTTGACAGAAAAGTGTGTGTGCTTGTCTGTTCAGTTTGATTAAATGGTTGCTCTCAGCCAGAAGAAATGGGCTTTACATAGACTGATGCTGGTAACACCTCCTTTATTCATCCAAAAGGTAGTAGACTATAGTACACTTCTAGGCTTATACTTTTGAATAATTAAAATGTTGTGTTTGTACTTGATGAATAAAAATTGTGCTTTCAGGTCAGTTACTGTTTTGTTCAATAAAAAACACTCTTATTAGTCTTCTTTGTCTTGAAAATGAACATCAAGTACCAGGACAACAGGCCCACACAACGGTAGTGGAGTTTGCTCGACAAACAGTCTCTCTAACAGTCTAGTTATACCCAAAAAAGTAAGTTTACAAAGAGGGGCTTGCATTGCTCTTGTTAGCAATCTGGTGAAAACTTCCAGTCTCCATCCAGCACACCAAGAAACTGAGAGACCCCAATGTCTGACTAGATGGTCTGAACCTCCTCACATGCTTGGCAGAGTAGGTAAAAGGGCAGTGTCAGTCAACCTTGACAATGTAGAAGCACATAAATTGTATACCTAAAAGTAATTTTTCTACCACAGTAGATCAGCAATAAAGGCTCACATGCACTGGATGTAATAAGTGATGCATCTCAGCTGACATTTCTAATTTGATGCTTCGATAGTGACACTGTAGGCTAGATTTTTGTAGCACATCAGCACTCAGCACCGTGACAGGTCATGTCAGTGTATAATTTTCTTGTACAGTGACATGGAAGCTGCTTCGTGGTCTGTAATCTGCTTCTCATATTCAGACACCAGCTAAAATACTGGCTTCTCGATAAAGTGTCTACACTTTCCTTCGATTACTGGATATATGACACTGTGCCTGTAATTTATTCAAATGTATCAACATTTAATTGGAGTATTATGCAGAAAGTTTTCAGAATTTTTATTTATTTGTTTTCATCAGTTGAAGGTGCAGAGAAATGATTTAAGATGAAATCATTTTGTTGGAGCCCAGTCCAAGTACAAACTCTATGCTGCCAACTCCTCTAGAAAGAGACGGAAAGTAGAGACATTTAAATAGATGTCTTTTGAGAGAAACAGCTCTGCAGATCTTCAAGGACACAGGAGAATCTGAACTTTGTTAAAATACCTTTGCCACACCCTGCATAACCACTGGCCTTCTGGTTTAAGCATTTCCATTATTCACATTTATCTTTGTTGAATGTTATATGTGTTGGCTAAAATTCTACCAAAGGCTAATATTGTACATATAAATTGGCGTTGCTGGCACTTTAAGAAATTCTAAGAGTCTCTAAAGATAAGTGCTCCCCTTTCTCAAATTTACGATATTTTTCTTCATCATCTTAGTCATTATACAACTGTGTGTATGCATGTTTTTTTTTCTGTCAATAGTAAAGCTTTATTTGCAATAAAAGCCATTCTTTCCTCTGTGCCATAAAACAAATCTACCAACCATCTGGCATATTTCAAAAATAATAAAAAAAAAAAAAAAGCTAAAATATAGTAGAAGCATTTCGACCATGCATAATATCTATTAAGGATCTAGTGACAGAAAATCAATATCAAATCCATGTTTTCAGTGGTGTATAAAGACCTTACATAATGAAACGTTATGTTCTATGGACTTCGCCATGTTGCGGTACTATGTTTCTGCAGTAACTTAAAACGGACAAACAGCGCTAAAGAACGTTTCGTCTATAGACTAGTTCCATAGACTAGTTCTTCTTCTTCTTGTAGAATTCTAGCAGTGTGGATGCAGCACATTGAATACGTACGTTCAAAGAAGAAGAAGAAGTAATAATATACAGCAGGGGTCGGCAAATAAGTTTTGCATCGGAACAATTCCATTTAGTGGAATCACATTTTCTAAATGGCTATTTGAAAGGTGTGTCACGCAGGCAACACTTTTTAATTTTAGTATAAGCTTTCAATTCAACTCAAAATAAAGCATTGCAGCAAAGAAAGTTCTCATGCTTTCATTTTGCAGGCAAAACCACTAAAGAGGAAGTGATTACGTGAGTAACTGTTGCTGTCATGACTGAGATCTATTTCAGCGCCTGTCAAAGTATTCATTTTTATTTTTTGCCGCTATCAAAACACCATAATCTGACCGCGGAACATATATTAGTGGCCAAGTCCCAACAACATGGTTTTACTTTATTAATTATTAAGTAAATATAATTTCTTAATATACTACCTAAAAAAACTTAATTTCTTGACTGGCTACTCTCTGCTGTCTCAGATGGCGACAACTTATGTCCTGTGACAGCCACCGTAGCTGTTCAACGTTCTTTGAAAGGCTGAGGGGGAGTGGTAGACAGTTGGTTGCAATTCGCAACTTCACCGCTAGATTCCACTAAATCTTAAATCTTCCACACACTTAACCTTTAAAAGTTTATAAATTTGAACATACATTGAAGTAATGTGTGATTTTGTTGTTTTTCAGACTCTGACGTGGTGAGCTTCGATGGCCGCAGCAGCCTTCTCTACAGGTTGAGTCCCAGGCTGAGGCAAATGACCAGGGAGAGCATCTCTCTGAACTTTAAAACCCTGAGGAATTCTGGGATACTGCTTCACGCAGAGGGACAGAGCGAGCACAGCCTCACCCTAGAGTTAGAGAGCGGAAAGCTTCTCTTGCTCCTCCGAAAAGGTACAACTCATGAAATCATCATGCACACAATGCCATGATGAGTCGAATTATAAAACAGATACTTGTAGCAAGTTGGTTTCTAATTGGTCAAACACCATTTTTTATTATTCACTTCCAGATGTTGTCAAGTGTGTTCTGCTATAAAGAAAACTTCCTAGATGATGCAAATACCTTGGTAACTGTTGAATTAGAAGCCAAATCACTATTTGTATGGACTGACTCTTTAATGGGTTTGTCTCCACTGAGGGATTCTAGGGATTACGTCACCAAGCCATGCATCTGAAGGTACCAAATCCATGCTGCACATGTGCAAAAGTGGTCCTGTCTGTCAAAGGTTACCGCAAATGTGCCTGTTCATAATTACTCGTGTGTTGTTGTCTGTTCTCATCTCAGGGCATTTTTTCAGGAAGGTTTACAAAGCGTTATTTGATGCAAAAGGAACCCTTCAGTATCTGTAGGAAACGCCCCCGGGCGCGTCTGCATGAGACGCCCTGTCTAGTCCAGGGGCACTAGTAGCTAGCTAGGTAGCAAGCTATGTTAGCATAAAAGGCGTTGACAGCTTCCCAAACCCCTTACCTTAACCCTAACCATCACAGGGGTGTGTGCCTAAACCTAAGTCAGCGATTGTATGCATGTCGACCGGCTACCCATGCTGTCTGATCAGCATCTTGATATGCCACACCTGTGAGATGGATGGATTATCTTGGGGGCAAAAACAAAAGTGTTTATAATTTTTTCAGTGTATGTGCAGAATTTGTTTGGTATTGTGAATTAAAGGAGTGCTTCGCTGATTTTACACACAAGATCAGTTTACTCATCCTGAGCAGTACCACTCAGCCTGTGAAAACAGTTTGTATAATATCTTATTTAGCTCTGGAGGGAGTTTCCAGTGCATGAAGAAATAGTACTTCATATTGGACTTTTTTAACAGAAAGCCTCCATTACAAACTGAAGGTGAGGGGTTTGAAAGTGAATGGCATTTCGGAGGGCTGAATGAAAGATACAATCCAGGGAAATGTAGGATCCAGTGTTTTTGGAGCTTGACCCATACTAGATATTAAAAGACTACTAAGTATTTCAGTATCTGCTGTCCATTATTTTTTAATCTGTTTCTTGTGAGTTCCCTGACTTGGAATATTAAATTGTTGGAGTGCTCATTTTTTGGCTGAGTTCATGTTCTTTTGGTTGTTGTTTGGCATGCATATTTTTTCAAGCTGTTGATTTACGTAGTGGTGAAATACTTATTATTCAGACAAGCATTAGAGAAATATTTCCACTCACAGGCATTTGATTCATGTGTCACTTGCTTTACTATTCTTCAATTCAGCTGCATCTAAACTGCTGAGCTCATGTCCTATAGTTTATGCTGCTTCTACGCTTAGCTGCACGGAGTTCATATCCATCCATCCTGAAGTCGTGGCCTTAACAACTACACATACATTCATTCATAAGAGATTGTCCTCTTACCAGACTACTATATTACTTTTGTGATTTTAATATGCGTAATTAATTAAAGGTCTTAGCCTGCTGCTGCAGTTGGTGGATTTGATTTATCCATCTCAATTCACTACAACACAGTTTATTTTCTTTGTGGTCTGAAGAGTGTAGCAGCTGGTGCCTGGCCTGTAGAATAACTGGTTTTGGCCTCTGTATGCCATGTATTTTTAGGGTGGGGGGGTTATAATTATCACTCTCCAATCTCTGCTATGCTGAAATTGGTGTTGTTGCTTGTGTGGAGTGATGAGCCAAATATCAAATCATACTACATATTCTCTTGGCTTTATTTGGCATATATTCTCTACCTTTCTTTTGTTTTGTTAGTTGCCATGCCAGTCCACCTAGTATGATGTATCAGTTCACTTAAGAGGCCATAAAAGAGTAGGTAATAGTCAGATCATCATGAAATAATGAGGAACTACTTAGTAGCTACTCAGCATGATATCACTTTACTTGGGGGTGAACAGGAATAATAAGTAATGATTAAGTAATTATTTATAAAATTTATAATTTAATCTAATTTATTGCGATAATTAGGAATTACTTGATTCAGAGATATTTAAGAACTAACCATTACCTAATGATTTATTAATACAATCTTTCCTGTCCTGTTCTCTAGTAACTATCTACTCCTCAATTTAGAGTTATTGAGGAACAACTCATTAGCAATTCATTGATTATCAGGTCGCTCCCGATTTGTTCCTTACTCTTTCCTTAGTAGTCACTCTCATATTTGTGTACCATTTGTAAACCAATGTTTTGCAATGCAAAATGCTCTATAAGGGTAGTAAAACTGAAGCTTGAACTTAACTTAAATTATTACCAATAGTTAAGAATGGCCACTATCTTGAAAGACTGACAACAATGTTATTTGTGTAGCATCATCATCTCTTTGCTGCTACACAGAAATTAGGCACTGTCATGAGTTTCTCAGGTTAGGGAAGTTGTTGTCAGAAGCAGCCGTCTGTGATTTGTTTCTGAATTGTGGCCAGAAGCAGACTTTGTTGATGCATATGTTTCCTCTCAGCCTGTAACTTGTTCCCTGCACACTGATGGATTTGGGGGTTTGTAAGTGCCAAGTTTATTTATTCAGCTTCATCTGCCATATATAGCACACATGAATAAACATCAGAGTCCGCCCTACGTCTGTAGGGTCGGTCCAAGATGCCAACATTCTTGTGAAAAAGTGAATTTTGAAAAGAAATAACATCAATCTCCAATCACTGGACTGTCAGAATCATAACCATGAAAACAATCAAGTGTGAGGACGATAGAAATGCTGACAAAGACATGTTTTCAGGTACAGAAAAGGGCAATATAACATTATTTTCAACATGCAGACATAATCGCAACATATATTTTTAGCTGTCCTTATATTCTTAAACATGCACAGCCATAGTACATTTCTTCAGAAGGGCCAAACACTGCGTAGCATCCCATGAGCAGTTTTGTCGGTTCAGTTCCTTGCTCTATGGCACTAAAGATGTAATACCAGCCTCTCTAATTGCAGGCCACTGTGCACCCCTTACTTGAAAATTTACTTTGAAAACAGAGGTAATTAACAATTTTGCACATTTACCTGCATTAGATTCTCATTAGTTTGTGCTGGTCTGGCCCCCCACCTTAACAACCCATTATGAGAGTTTTGTTCCCCCTGTGTACCCTAAGCAGCCTTAAGCAGCACTTAACAGAAGACACTTAGTTCCGCTCTGTTTGTCTGGAGCTGTCCAAACTGTTTGAATAAATACACGGGCTTATTAAAATGTATGCGGTCTCTCCGAAAGCATCCCATTTTCTCTCTGCTGTACATTCATCAAAATGTCGGTTTAAAGTTCTGTGGCTCACTTGTTTATAATTAAGCTGGGTTCTTTTCTGCCACTGGAATATTTTGTGAAAATAAATATACCAGGGATCAATGTTCACTGATCTTGTGCCTTCTGGCTGAGCTTTTGTTAGGTAAAGACAGAGAAGGTTTCAGAAAGGAAGACAGGATATAACTCAGAGAGAAATAAGAGAGAGTAAATAAGTGAGCTCTTTGGATGGAGAGGTTAGCTTATTCATTTTGTGTGAGTTTACGGCACGCTGAGTAAATGTGAAAGTTGGATCACTTGAGTTTATCTATGTGGTTAACTCACATTCCCAAGGGAGTTGACAGGAGCTGCCTGTGAAGCGCGGAGTGTCAGGTAATAGCTGTTGAAATAGAGAAGATTGATTTGTAGTTGTATTAAGACTGCTTGGGCTGGAGGTTCAGTTGCTGTTGGAGCCTCCATCATGTAATAACAGACTGATGGGACTATTAGACAGAGCACCAGAAATGTGTCAAAAGCGCTGGTCTGGTTGTGCTCTATTTAATTTTATTTGTTTTTTGATCATTCTCAGTATAAAATTGAGAATCCCAAACACCCTATTTTCAAAATGAAGGTCTCTCATAATCATTCAATCTTGCTGAAAAACCAAACTCTGTACTTTGACTTGACACAAACACCCATCACTCCATCTAAACACACACACTACAATACAGTCTGAGATAAATTCAAAACAACACTACAAAAACTGGTTATAAGTTATGCTACTTGTGGTTCTCCCCCTCAAAAAAACGTTTTTACATGACGAACACAACAAAAGAAACAACAAATACATGTGCGCATTTTTTTCTTCTTCTTCTTCTTTCTTTAGTGTACTATAGTATATCACACCAAACAACTAATTCTTCTACCCCAGCATCCTTTGATCTGGGACAGGCCAGATATTCTCCTCCTCCTCCTCTCTGGTGTCCTTTACCTTTTCCTTCACATAATTCTGGATCCATTGTTCCAAAACTGAATGAACTGACTGACTCTGGTCCTTTTATATATCTATTGAAGGTTCTGATTGATGTGTTATCAAGTATGACTCTTTGTGTTTCTACCTTGGTAGCTGTGTGCTAATTGAGCTCAAGTTGCGCTGACTTGACTGAACTATATTGAATGTTTCTAAATCTGCTTTCTAGATGACCACATGATTTAGGCAGTGAGAAATTAAGGGATTTGTTTGTAGAGTTTAAGGAAATTGGTGTGTTTTTTGAATTATATTGGTTTTAAATTATAGTTCAAAAGCCTGGTTATAGTGTTTAAGCAATTGAGAAAAACTGTAACAGCCGTTTTTATTTTAGCACTTATACATAATTAAATGTTACCTGTGACATGTCACATTTTTCCCGTCATGTAGTTGTTGTGTCTCTCTACAGTAGATAAACAGATGCTAGGTGGATGCAGACGATGATTCTGGATACAGTCTATCAACAACGCTGTCACAGTGAAGGGTGGTCTGTGTGTCATGTTCAATACTGCAGATTCGACTTACCACAATATTCTACTTTATCCACAGTGATTTATAGGAAGGTGTCTCAATTGTTTTTAGTCTTACAGGGTTGTAACAAAGCAGCTTAGTCTTCATCCAAGGAGCAACATGCTCATATCCGAGAGGGCCAGCTGTGCTTAAGTTTACAGCCCACAGCTGACTCG